GGGGCCTGAAGCTAGCAATTAGCAATGTAGTACAACTGCAACCTTATCCGTCATTTGGAGATGTTCAAACACTAGCCCTGAAGGTGGAGAGACAACAAAAGCAGAGCGAGCAACCGTCATCCTTCGGGCAGGTAGTCACCTACAGTTAGCACAACCAACAAGGGTACCCCAAGAGACACTAACAAGCTCGGGCATGGGAATGACTCTGGATCAGAGCAAGAAGAAACATGAGAAATGTTGCTCCTCCAATACTGTATTGACCATAAAGTGTTACAGATGTCACGACTACAACCACAACCTCTAGTTGTCCCACGAGCAGGTAGTCACACTCATAGATCAGAATGTCGTAGAGGAGATTAGCAATGAGCCGAGGAATAGGGTGAGGTATATAAGCTTCCCCCAGATGGAGGCGCATGTAATTCGACGAATTTTGCTGAATGAGGACACAAGGGATTCGTGGTGGCTTTGTCACATCATATTCCACACCTGCTGCACAGTGAATGGAAAGACATGCAATCTCATCATCGATCGTGGGAGCAGCAAAAACGTGACATCAATACAAATGGTAGAAATAATGGGACTCACTACTCAGAGGCATTCCCATCCGTATTCACGAAGTGATTGAAAAAGGAGAATCGGATCAGCATCGACCAGAGATGCTTAGTAGAGTTCTCAATTGGGGCCAGCTATAGGACAAGTTGTGGTGTGAAGTGGTCACTATGGATACCTGCCACTTTCTGTTGAGAAGACCGTGACAATTTGATCGAAAAAATCAGCACAACGAATTTATAAACACACATTCTTTCACAAAGGATGAGAAGTGCATCATCTTACTTCTTTCGGTCGAGCCTGAGATCAGAGGAGCCTTTACCAACAAAGCAACGTCTGTGGGGCCAGTTTTGGTAATGCCACATAATGAGAGGACTGAGAGACTCTCTCCAGACACGGGACAACTATGATAGAGAGTTATTCAGAGCCTCACAGTCGACACTATACGACTAGCTCCCCCATCGAGCAGGATGGTTCAGGCTACTCTCACTGCACCAGAATGAACTGACCGTTAGTTGATTTGGGAAGATTCAAGGCGTGACCCACAATCTCAGGTGAGCGGATAGATAGGGACTTGTGCTCGCCAATGGAGAAGACTTCTCTGATGCTTTGGGAGACAAATGCAGTCAACAGTGGGATCCAAATGTCATTAGGATTGAAGACAAGAGCCTGAAGCTTCCCTAATCCCAAGAAACTAACACGAATGTGGCATTTTCTCCTCAGGGGAGCGGGAAGGAGTCGCCGGCTGGTTGGCATAGGCGCCAATCCAGGCCCCAACTGCACCGGGCGGCCTATAGAGGGGCCAGTCTTTTCTCGCACCTTCCTTTTATGTGATTTCCGTATGGTGTTTTTTTCTTGTGGGAGTCTGTAAATTGTTGTTTTCTGGATGGTTTAGTTTTACTGTGTGTTGATTTCAAAATCCATTGTAGGGTTGTTCTTCTTGTTCTAGGGCTACATTCGAAGAGGAGGTGGGGCTCCGATTGTATCCTACTCCGAGGTGGTGTTGTATCTTCTTTTTATCCTTTCCTAACCTTTCTCCTACCATTGTTGTAGCCCTATTTCTATATTAGTAAAAGCTTGCTTTGTGTTTCGACTAATTTCCGAACTAGTTCCGGTATCACTTAGAGGCCTCATCATTAGGCAAATAAGCATCAAGATATAAGATAGATGCTATGGAAACCAACATGAAATCTAAAGGCCTTGACCACAAACGTTAATAGGTACCATTGAGTTTTATAGAGAGTTTGATGGTGATAGGGGTTTTGGTATCATGCAATGGAGAACAAGATGCCATGATACTGTTTAAGATGGAGATTAAGTTGAAGAGATTATCTTAGATCATCATCAGTGAAACATTGAAATCGAAGAGTAGAGGAAATGTTTGGAAGATTAGTGAGTACCAAAGTAAAGTCAACATACCAGGTAACACAAAAGCACAGACGAGGGTGATAGTAGTATTCCTTATTGTCATTAATCATGACATGTATGATGGGTGAGTGATGTTTTAAATTACAAGCACATAAGCGAATCTATGGAAATCATTGCTGGTGGGATGTGTAGTGAAGCCATTGACAGGCAAGCAAAATATTAGAGGGTTGAACGAGTGAACTAAGGAAGGCCACATGCTAGCGAGTGTGCTTGCAGGGAAAAGTCGCACATGAGCAGAGGAAGCGACTTACAAACAAGTGGAGGTAGGGCCAAGTGAGCCAAGATAGGATGAGGCATGTAAATGGGAGGGTGGCTTTCTACTCTGGGAACATGTTAATGGGAAATTATTACACCATGTTATTGACTATATACGAGAGGCCTATAAATGGGCATGCAAAAGTATATAATAAGGACAAAATAGAAGAGAATAATATCCTAATTATGAGGATTTTAAATTACATATAACCAATTTCCAACATTAGAAACTTTATTTTTTTTTATCCCATGCCATATAATGCATCAACAAATGTATTTTTTGACTCACTTCATTCAATTTAGAAACTATATTTTTGACTGTGTTTAAATTGCCTCAAGTAAATGAGATCCTTTTTTATGGCGTGATAGGCAAGGTCCCATGTATGCATAGAATTTAAAATTTGGCTTTTTATACTTTCAAGAAGTTATGTCCTTTTTCTTTTCATTTCAGAATTTAATTGTCATATTATTGTATAAAATAGGTTATGCCTTTTTTATGTCTATTAAATTTTACTGTGAAATTTGATGAAACTTCTCTCACTGCTTGGAAAATGTGTTATGTGCATTATTTTTCTTCTTTGTCAACACTTTCATTCTAGCGAGAAGAAAAATTTGGAAAATGTGTTATGTGCATTATTTTTCTTCTTTATCAACACCCATGTTTGCAGTATCTTTCCGATATTCTGATGGGGAATAGTGGAATCCAGAAGATTCAGCTTAACAGTACTGGTATTGGGGATGAGGTTATAATACTTGGCTTATTAAAATTCTTTGTTTTAACCTTTGTCATTATTTATAGAAGTTAATTTATTTTAAATATGTTATGTTATATATGATCATGCAGGGGGCAAAAGCTATTGCAGAGCTGCTAAAAAAGAATTCAACATTACGTGTTTTAGAGCTTAACAACAATATGATTGAGTTTTCCGTATCTACTCCTGCTTCTCATATTTGAAATTTGGAAGTTTCTTTGAAATTAATAATGGAAGATTTACATCTATACCACTCAGTTCCTATGTATATACATATCTAACGCCTGAAGTTCAATTTTTTCATACATGCCACCTTCTCTGTGCAATGTAAAGGTGTATTTCTCTTTTTAAAAGTTAAAATGATGGTCTTTTTCATGTGATACGAATGATTTGAATGGTATGAATGTAAAAAGTAAAACTTTAGGTGTTTGAGATATAAATTGCGTGGTTTGTATGTAAATGCCCCATTAATAATTTACAAAATAAATTTGATTCATATAAACGTTATTAGGGATTTGCTGGTCTGGCTGGAGCACTTCTTGAAAACAACTCTATTAGATCGATACATCTCAAGTTAGTAATGCTTTCACTTCTTTTTAATGGATGATTTCTGCTTTAATGAGTGTGACATATTCAACGTTCTTTATTGCTTTATTATTTTTTATTTTCATTGTATTTTTTAATCGAACTTGAAAAGTGTTTCTAATTTTTTTTTTTTGAATTTAGTGGGAATTATGGCGGTCCACTTGGAGTAGCAAGTTTGGGCAAAGGCATTGAAGGAAACAAATCCTTAAGGGTATTAATTTTCCCAGTTTATATTCTACTTCATTTATGATAGTAATTAGCTGCGAACATTATATTGGTTATAGACTTGTTTTATATATATGTTTAATGTTTGGCTTATTATTACATACCACACAATTTATATATATTTATAAGTCTAACTTCTAAACTGTCACAACTTGACTTGATAGCTTAGAATTAACTAAATCAAAAACTGCAATTAGACGGTATTAACATTTCATTTACTCTCTAGAGATTTTCATAACTTTCAATTTATAAAGAGCGACTAAGAAACCACAAGATATATTACATAAAAATCATATCGTCCAAAATTAACACTATAATCTACAAGAATAACTTCTCAAACCAACACAACAATATCTCTACTCATAAGTAAAACAATATACTAAGTATAACCACAACATATAACGATCTATCAGCAGTAGTCCTTTTGTAAACTAAATCCCTCATGTTAGACATATCAACCTAGTGTTTTATCTGAAAGAAACAATTAATTTAAACAGTAAGTGAGTAATCTCAATCTTATTATGTATTAAATTATTATGCAAATGTTATGCGTAAATGACCAAAATAAATGTGATTCATTAATTAATCTTCTTTTAAGTTTTCATTTTAAATTTAACCATTCTTGTTTCAATTTAAGTATTTATCATTTTTAGACTATTTAATAAGTCATATCAAAATTAATGTCATACCTGAAGGTATCCTTAAAATTGTATTCATATGTACCCTCAAAAGTTTGTGTTCCATTATCTTTTTCGTGCATTAGTATATCACATCCCCTACCGGTATCATCTGAGGGTAATTCTGAATGGCTTGAGCTTTTGCACGTCATTTACTTTAATTATTTTCTTTTGAAGTAATTGAATAATCATTTTCTTTTTTTATCATTTCATTTTTCTCATTTCACTGATTCTTTTATTTTGCAACATGTATATAACTATATAAGTATGCATCTGAAGTAATAATGTAAGTCTTTATTTGATAAAATATCAATTTAACATATATAAGAAAGTAGTTACTCACCTTTGCCTTAAATGGCCTCTTTGCAAACTTAATCTTCTAATTACTTCCTTTTACTATCACATCTGTTTTTATTCTATTTTTTCCCCAAATCACGATCCAAAGCCCTAATGCATTGAATCAATTTTTCTTATTCACTATTTAAGTTCATTAAATCATACTTAATAACATATATTTAATTAAACAAAATATTTATATAAATAAACACCCAAACTTTTATCTTAACCAAAGTTTACTTAGATCGATCTCCTTCTTCCCTTAGCTCGCACACTTCACCAACTTCTTCTCCTTCCAAATTGAATTTTCTATATTTTGAGTCCTAATTTAATTAGACTTTTGTTGACATTATATAAATAAACACACACACACACACATAAATATATATATATATATATTCAATAAATAAGCTTAGAAGACCCTAAAATATCTTATACTTCGTTCGACAATCCTTATCACATGCACGCAAGGCTCGGTTTTGCTTCCTCTTCTCTTCTTCCTGCATGCAACCCAGTGCCGTGAATTTCGACTCCTTCGATGAGGTATGGAACCAAGCACGAAAGTACACAAGCCTCTTTCTTTCTTCCTACGAACTTGGCTTGACTCTAGTACCGTACGTGTGAGACGATCTCCTAACACCCTCCTTCGGCTAGGGTACGACGTTGCCTCATTCAACTTCGAGGCAAAGTGTCACTTAACGTTGCATCTAGAGGAACTGAAACGCCTTTCTTTCTTTCGAGCACCGAGCCTCTCTCCTAATTCTCCTTCCGAGAAGAGCGTTTCCTCTCATTCATCCTTTCCTTCCTCTTCTTTTACCTTCTTCCTTCTCCAATTTTTTGCTCACTTGTTCTCTCTTTCGATTGGTACGAATAAGGGAAGCGAATCCTAAAGACGAATCCTATAGAGATGCTTATCCATTAATTGCCTATTTGATTATTATTAATTTTATTTTTAATATTATAGATATTTTTTTAAATTTCAGCTATTATAATCTCCCCTCATAAAATTTTATCCTCAAAATTTTATAAGTTTAATTTAAAACAAACACACCTTAACTAAAGAGTTGGGTATATCTTTCTTGCATATCAATAGCTTTCTCCTAAGTTGCATTCTTCTCTGATCTGTGTTTCCATAAATTTCTCTATTACAAAGTTTCTTCACATCATAATCTAAAATCTTTTCAAGCTCTTCTATGTAGTATCTTCGCTTCATCTACAACAATTTTATTATACTCATCAGCAATATACTTCTTAAGTGAATATACATGAATACTCATCAGCAATATACTTCTTAAGTGAATATACTTGAAAAATATTATGCACTTCTTGCATATGAGTTGGTAAAATCAATCTGTAAGCCATATTTTCAATCTTTTCCACAAGCTCATATGGACCTACATATCTTGAACTTAATATTCCGTCTTTCCAAAATTTTGCACATCCTTCAAATGACTAACTTTGATAAAGACAAAGTGCTTAGAATTATAATATTTTCTCTGCTTATCCTACACTGTCTTTAGTCTATATCTGATGAGTCTAATTTTTTCAACAACATCGTCAGCCAGTTTGCTCCAATGATCTTTCTTTCACCTGCTTCAGCCCATCATAATGGTTTCCCACACTTTCTTTCATATAAAGATTAATATGGAACAATTTTAGTACTTATTATAATCTCTACCTGGGGTACATTTGATTCCTATCCTCAAAAAAAAAAAAATCAAAAGACAACCTTACTAGATTCTCAAAGTTCTGAAAGTCCTTTTTGACTCACCATCTGCGCTGAAAGTCAAATTGATGCCCGAAGGCCTCTGAATCTTCTTACATAATCTGTAAATAAATCTATCATTTTTGTCTGAGAAAATAAATTTTAGCACTCAATGCAATCTTACAATTTGATCAATATATAATTTGGCTAACTTATCAATATAATTTGTCTATTTAATAGGTAAGAAATGAACAGACTTAGTCAATCTATTATGAATTACTCAAATAGAATCACAAATCTGTAGCGACCTAAGAAATCAAAACATAAATTTCATAGCAATCTCCTCCCATTTTCACTCTAGAATCGATAAAGGCTATAATTAACCTCCTGGACGTTGATGTTCTGCCTTCACTAACTGACATATAGGACATTTCGCCACAAATTTTGTAACGCTCTTCAATTCTAGCCATCAAATTGTTTCTTTAAGCTTCTGATAGATTTTATTACTCCCTGGGTGAATAGTACAGTCAGAGAAGTGTGCTTCTATAATTTTCTGTCTTAAATTATCAACAAATGGAGCATAAATCGTCTCTTTATATTTCAATAAGTCATCCAAGCCTAACACATACTCCTCCAAATTATCTGCCTTATCCTACTCCATGATTTTATAAATAATGTCATCTCTGGCTAATGAATCCGTAATTCTACCTTTCAAAGTGGATTTTACGATAAATCGATTAATTGAACTTTACTATCATTGCAATAATTATCAAAGATAGCTTCAACCTTTCAAAATTATTTAGTAATTGCCTTAAATAAGTGAATAAACTGTTCAAATTACCCGAGGTCTTCCTACTCAATGCATCTACCATCGCATCTGCCTTCTACTAATGGTACTGAATACCTAACTCTTAATACTTAATAAACTCTAACCATCTCCTCAGTCTTAGATTCAATTCTTTCTTAGTGAGTAAATATACTTTGTACTTTGATGATTTGTAAATATCTCACTTCTGACTCCATACAAATATTGCATCTATATCTTAAGTGCAAATAGAACTACTAGAGGCTCCAAATTATGTCCGGGGTAATTTATTTCATGATTCTTCAATTGCCTTGAAGCATAATCAATGACTCTTCAATGTTGCGTAAGTACACAACCCAAATCTTTCAACGATGCATCACTGAAAATCTGAAATCCATTTGATCCCGAAGGAATAGTCAATATTAGAGCAGTCATTAAGGAAGACTTCAATTTTTGAAAAGCCTCTTCACAACGATCAGTCCAATCAAACTTTACCGTGTTTGAGTTAATATGAATAATGACAAAAATTTGTGAAAACTCATCTACAAACCTCCTGTAATAACCAACCAAGCTTAGAACACTGTTGACCTTAGTAATAGTTGTAGGTCTTGGTAAATCTATAATCACATTGATCTTCATATGATCCACAAATATGTTATCTCCACTGATAATATGCTCAATAAAAGTTACACTTTTAAGTTAAAATTCACATTCATAAAATGACAGTGTATTCTCTTTAAAAAATTGAAGAATAACATGCAAATGATCTGTATGGCTAGCTTTATCTCTTGAATACATTAAGATATCATCTATAAATTTAATCACAGTTGTATCAAAAAATTACTTGAAAGTCATATTCATTAGATCCATAAAAAATACTTGAGCATTAGTCGGTCCAAATGATATCACCATAGATTCATAGTGCTTATATCTTGTTCTAAAGGCTGTCTTCGTTATATCTTCATATTTAATCCTCAATTGGTGAAAGTTTGACCTTAGACCAATCTTTGAAACTACATAACCCCCTTCCACCCGATCAATTAAGTCATCAATTCTCGGTTGTGAATAATTGCTCTTCAGAATGAGCTTATTACCCTATAATCAATGCACATTTTGAAGCTCTTATTTTTCTTCTTCACAAATAACACTAGAGCTTCCTAATGTGAGGCGCTAGGTTTGATAAATCCCTTATCTAGCAATTTGTGCAATTGATTTTTCAGTTCTTGTAACTCCTTAATGACCATTTTATAGGTTAGAATCTGTTAGTAGCTCAATAGTGAAATCGATCTCTCTCATATGAGGTAACCTTGGTAGATCATCAAGAAAAATTTTGCATATTTCTTTAACATTGAAATATTACCCAAAGATTTTACTTCCTTAGAGGTATCTTTCACATGAGCAAGAATACTCTGGTTTCAATGATTCAACGATTTGAAAGCTTTCAAACAAGCAGTTATCATGGATATCAACCCTTTATC